CCCATGAAGAAAGTTGGGGAAACCACCGTTCCCAAAACCGAAGAAGAATACGATGCGCAGGATATCAAGAAAATAGAGAACAACGCCAAGGCGATCAACATTCTTTATTGTGCAGTAAACCCGGATGACTACCGGAAGATCTCTTGTTGTTCCACCGCCAAGGAAATGTGGGACAAGCTCGAAATCACATATGAAGGTACGAATCAAGTCCGAGAAGCTAAGATAGATTTTCTAACCCATGAATATGAATTATTTCGTATGAAGGAGAATGAGAAAATCGATGAGATGTTTGAACGATTCTCCAATATCGTTAATGATCTCCATGCTCTCAAGAAGACGTACACGGACAAGGAGCTTGTGAGAAAAATCCTGCGAAGTCTCACACCAGAGTGGCGCTCCAAAGCCGATGCCATTCAAGAATCCATCGGCATCACCAACGTCACCATTGACGGACTTAGAGGTAATCTCAAAACCTATGAGTCTACCATTCTGTATCCCTCTCTAGGTGAACAAAAGAAGAATGGGATTGCTCTCAAGGCATCTACAAGTCAAGAACGTGCTATGGAAGACTCGAGTGACAAAGACGAGTTCGGGATCGTACTCAACAAATTCCATAAGTTCATGAGCCAAGAGTATGAACGGAAAGGAAAGAAGCAAGGAAACCCACCCAAATGCTATGGGTGTGGAGAAGTTGGGCATATAAAACCAAAATGTCCAAACGCCAAGATCAAGAATAAAATGTTCAAGAAGCACCGAGCCTACATCTCATGGGGAGGTGATTCCGGTGACGAATCATCGGAAGGCGAAGAAAACGAAAGTGCCAACCTTTGTCTCATGGCACACGAGGAACCACCAGAAGAGGTATGTACCACTTCTAAAGATTCCTATACTTTTGATGATGTACAAGAAGCCTTTAATGAACTTTTTGATGAATATGTCAATGCTTCTAAAATTAACAAGGATTTGAAGAAACAACTTACTTCCATGGAGAAGGAAGTTGATAAACTATCAAAAGATAATGAAAAACTAAAAGAAGAAAATAAGTTTTTCGGAAAAAGAAGCGCCGACAAACCGGAAAATCCAAAATGTAGTTCTTGTATATCACTTAAGGATCAAGTTGCAAAACTTGAAGGAACTTTGAAGAAGTTTGGTGTTTCTCATAAAAACCTTAATGATGTTCTTGATAATTTGCAACTTACTAGACATGGCTTAGGATTTGAAAATAAACCTAATAATAAGGAAAAAGTTGAGCAACCATCTAGGAAACCTAAATCTCAACTTAGGAATAATGAAAATCAAGAAAATAGACAACCTAGAACAATTAGGAACACTAGACTACCTAGAAAGAACACTAGGATGAACAATGATCAAATTAGAAGACCTAGCAACTATTATCAACCTAGGAGAATGCATAATCCAAATGTTGTTTGTCATTATTGCAATAGGGTAGGTCATATAGCACCCGTGTGTTTTAGTAGGCATAGGCATTACACGTATAACAAAACACACACTCTGCATAGAACTAACCGAATGAAATCCTTTCAAAAAGGATATTCAAACTCTAACCAATCCCTGCAGGAATCAACGCAAAAACCATATTACTTCTTCTATTATGATGCAAAGAAGAAGATTCACATACAACTTCCGGAACCCACACAAATCAAACCGAGGTATAGACATTCGGTTCGAGTAGACTGGAACCCGCCAACCGCAAAAGGACGAGTTGGCCAAGGTAATACTTAAACACGCATGTTGGTACATATGTGTGTGTGTGTGTGTTTGCGTACCATGTGTATGTGATTATGGGTGTGTGTGTTTATTAGTTTAAAAAAAAAAGTCGTGTCACTAATCCTCAAGGACCCAAAAAGATCAAACGGGTACCAAAATGTTTTCATTGTAGGTGTCAAAGTCAGGGGGAACAAAAGAAATCGATTTTTAGTTCCAAGACTGAGTGTAAATCGATTCACAGGCTTGTGATAATCGACTATCACAACCCACAGAAGTTGGAGCAAAGAAACTGAAGGAGCCAACAATCGATTATCAGCATTAAGATAATCGATTATCAGGGGCTGTAGAACTTTCTCAAAAGTCAGGCACAAACAAGCAATAATCGATTATCAATATTAAGATAATCGATTATCTGAGCCTGCAGAAGTTTAAGGCAACTCAGGCGCAAACTCCAACAATCGATTTACCAAACATGGCAATCGACTATTGAAGACTGCAGGACAATCAGCTGAGAATCTGAGGCATCTGATAATCGATTGACAGGTCATGATAATCGATTATCAACGGAGATTTTTCAAAAATCTGACCGTTGCAGAGACGTTGGAGAGCAGTTAATGCCTTGTTTGACCATCCCAACGAATCTCTACACCTCCTCCACTATATATTGGTGATATCTACTCCATTTTTACTCATTCCAATCATCTCTTCTCCATATATTCATCATAATTCATCATTCTTGCTCCTATTCTTCATTT